CTCGGGGATGCCGTCGCCCAGGTGCACAGGGCCCATTCCCGTGTCCATGGCCATGGGCATAGGTCCCATGCTCATGTCGGTGCCCTGTCTGAAAGCCGCCCTGTCCGATATCCTCGCAGCGGAGGAGGGAGAAGGCAATAGAGAGGAGGAGGAGGATGAGAGGAAGGGTGAAGAGGGTCAGACAAGGGAGGAGAGGAAGGGTGAGCAGGGTCAGAGAAGGGCGGAGGAGGAGGAGGAGGAGGAGGAGGAGGAGGAGAAGGAGGAGGAGAAGGAGGAGGAGGAGGAGGAGGAGGGGGAGGAGAACAAGCTAGGTGCGCTCGCGTCGTATCTGACGTCCTACCCCTCCAACCATGGCGTAGATCTCCTCTCTATTCGCACAATCGGATGTCGTAGCATGGCATAGCAGTACATGCCATAACCCATAACATGGTGTTGAAGATCAACGCGCAGCATGACATAGCATGGCGTGGCGACACCCCAGAATGGGGGGGGGGCTTCTGTGGCCCCCCCAAAATCAACGAATCGGCACCGAATGTGAAATCACTTCCGATGGTTTTTTCGGGAGGCCATTTTCTAGATTTGGGGACCTGTTTGGAAGGAACGAAAACCATGCCTTGGCATGGCACTGGGCGCTGCAGCGGGAGCACGATTCGGGACGAGCGGAAGCGCGGAAATGAGGCCAACGCTGCAGCGGGAGCACGATTCGGAACGAGCGGAAGCGCGGAAATGAGGCCAGCGCTGCAGCGGGAGCACGATTCGGAACGAGCGGAAGCCCGAAAATGAGGCCAGCGCTTCAGCGGGAACAGCATGTTGAACAACAAACTCAGCGACAACTCAGTTCCCAGGAATCCTGTGTAAAAAACCATATGCGGAGGGGGGCCAGATATCTTCTGGACGTGATCAGGGGAGAGAGGATAATAGTATTCAGATCGTGCACTTGTGGAAGAGGGAGGAGGAGGGGCACGGCAATGAGAGGGACGACGAGATCGGCGACGATGAAGACGACGACGACGACGACGACGACGGCGACTACGACGACGACTACCACCACCACCACGACGACGACGACACCACGACGACGACGACGACGACCACGACGACGACGACGACGACGACGACGACGACGGCGGGTGACGAGCGGTGCCCCGCCGGGCTCCTGTTCGGCCGCGGTGCCACGTGCTGGGAGCGGTAGGAGGGCTCCTGGAGCATGACTGCGCCCTCCGCGAGGCCCATGCCTGGAGGGAGGGAGAGGAGGAGGAAAAGGAGGAGGAGAATGAGGAGGAGAAGGAGAATGAGGACGAGGAGGAAAAGAAACATTAGGAGGATAAGAGACAGGAGGATGATGATGATGATGATGATGATGATGATGATGATGATGATGACGAGGAGGAAGAGGACGAGGACGAGGAGGAGGAGGAGGAGGAGGAGGAGGAGGGTGGTGGACGGCCATAAAGGCGGATTCAACCTCAGAGGGGCTCACCGTCGGAGGCCTCGCAGTCATTATCTGAGCCGTCCGCGACCAGAGACCGGCCGAGCTCCTTTACTCGAGGCAACTCCGACTCCAGAATCCCAAAGGCCCCAAGAAACGACGCTTGCAGGGGCAGTCCTGGATAAAAACACTCCGCACTGGGAACCGCTCCGCTTGCCCCCGCGGCGTCATATGCATCAACAAGTCTCTCAATCTCGACCTTGTCCTGGGAGCTCAACGGGCCTGGCGGGCCGAGCGCGATAGACTTGGTCGTGGGGCCGTAGTGCAGGTGTCTACCTTTCTTCGGCCTCTTCAACTGGGACCTGATCCCTGGGCTGGCGGGCTTGCTCAGACAACGCTCCTAGGAGAGTGTCCCAGGCGGCCCGAGGTATACCCCCGGCACCTGAAGCAAAAGAGAACTTCGTTTCCTACTCTCGACGGTGGCTCGATCGAGCAACGAACCAGAGCAGGCCGACGACAGAAGAACGCATGGCGGGCCTCGTCGGCCAAGGCAGGGTCAACACCTCCTTCCCCCGACTTGACGAGACTCGACGACGGTGGCGGCGGCTCGGCAGGCAGGTCCTGGCTGCTGGGCTCCAGCCCCGCCGTGTCTTGCCTCGTCTGGCCAGCACTGGCCAGCAGGGCTTCCAGACTACCCGCCCACCTCCCCTGCTACACCGTCAACGCCGTAAATCCCCGAAAGAGGGCTGCATGGTCGTCAGAGGTGCCGTGCATCAAAGCTCCTAGCTTTGCACTCTGGTCCGCGCTCTTGTTGGCTTCTCTCTCCCACCACGTCGAGCGACCAGTATCGATGTCACGGCTGGTAGCATGAACGAGAGTCTTGTGAGCCTGAATGTCCGAGCGGGCGAAGGCACTCCAAAGGGTGCTCCACATATGGGCTCGCGGGGACCCCGCCCCAGTCCCCAAACCAGGGCCTCCGATCAACACATCCAGCGTAGCTTGACAGTCTAGATAGAAATCGAACGGGCCCAAGCCTAAATCTGCGAGTGTGTGGATGGCGAAATTCTCACCGTCCTTCGCCGTCTGGCGGGGACCGACTCTTAACGGCACAGAGCCGTACGCTGCATGCAGAAGGTTTCCCAGACGGTCGGCCTGCACGAGAGCTCATCCAGCCCTGCACACTCCTGGCAAAGACGGCCACATAGAAGACCCATCACTATGTAAATGTAGCCACAAGTAGGTATGTTCACCCACTTGACCGTAACTTCAGGCTCGACACGGGACGGTCGATATAGGGGGGAGGAGGAGAAGGAGGAGGAGGAGGAGGAGGAGGAGGAGGAGTTAAGGTACCCTGTAGGAGGAGGAGGAGGAGGAGGAGGAGGAGCAGGAGCAGGAGAAAAAGGAGCACGGCGGGCCCTGGAAGAAGCCCAGGTTCTGCGAGGGCTGCGCCGGGCCTGCGGGCAGCCAACATCAGGGAGATCGCGAGATGGACCATGCCCCCAAAAAAACTAGAGAGGGGGGGCAGCAGAGGGAGAGAGTCCCTCCTCCTCCTCCTCCCCCTCCTCCTCATCCTCCTTCTCTTCCTCTTCCCTCCTCCTCATCCTTCTTCTCCTCTTCCTTCTGCTCCTCCTCAGCCATTCCTTTACCTTATGAATATCTCCTCCCTGTCGCACACCGAGGCCAGTCGGATGGGCGGGCTGGGCGGTTCGCCTGAGACTTCCTCTTTTGCTCCCGGAACTTCAGCTTGCAACAGCTTCACGGATGGAGGGCGGGCCGCTTTCAAAACGTGGCTCTTGCGTTAGCGCCACGCACACCCGTCCAACACAATTGCAATAATTCCACGGATTGAGGACAGGTCGTTTTCAATATGTGGCTCTCGCCTTAGCGCCGCGCACACCCGTCTTAACACATTGCAATCGTTTCACGGATGGACGGTGAGTGGCTTTCTAACTGTGGCTCTCGCTTTAGCGACGCGCACACCCGTCATAAACATTGCAGCAGTTTCAGTGCGACTCCTTTTCAAACTGTGGCTCTTGTCTGAGCGCCGCGCACATTCGTTTCAAGACTTCACAGCAGTCTCAAAGACTCTCATGATTAACGCCCCCGGAGTGTTGTTTTGGCACTATGTCAGATTGTCAGGGCGCAACAGTTACGTTGATTCGTGGTTTTGAAGCCCAGGAACGGTGTTCTGGCACGATTCTGGATCGTCAACTCAACAGTACAAGTTATTCGCGGCGTTGACATCCCAGGGATGGTGTTCTGGCACATCTCAGGATTTTCAAACGGCTGTTCTCCAACGGGGCACTCCCCTCAGTGCAAATGAACTCTTGTAGGGGCCTGTGGGGAGGGAGCTTGGAGGGAGGGTGTATTGCAATATCAATGATGGGTCTTGTGTTTACACTGGTCCTCCTCCTCCTCCTCCTCCTCCTCCTCCTCCTCCTCCTCCTCCTCTTCCTCACCACCATCACCATCAACTGCACCATCATCGCCGTCGTCATCGACATCATCATCATCATCATCATCATCATCATCATCATCATCATCATCATCATCATCATGATCATGATCATGATCATGATCATCATCATCATCGTCATCATCATGATCATCATCATAATCATCATCATGGTCATCATCATCATGGTCATCATGATCATGATCATGATCATGAACATGATCATCATCGTCATCATCATCACCAAAATCGGTATCATACTAACCAGCAGTGTAATTGTCATCAGCATCACCCTCACCATCCTCATCTTCAGCCTCATCCTCACCATCGTGCTCATCCCCATCATCCTCAGCAACACCATCACCATCATCATACTCGTCGTTGCCGTCGTCATCATCATATCCTTGTCATCGTCATCCTCTTCACCACCACCATCATCATCACGACCATCACCATATCTTCCTGATTCCTGTCCTAATCCTCCTCCTTTTCCTCCTCCTCCTCCCCTCCTCCTCCTCCTCCTCCTCCTCCTCCTCCTCCTCTTCCCCCCTTCCCCCCTTTTCCCCCCTGCTCCCCAGTATCCTCTTCTCGTCAGTGTTGTCCTCGTCCTCGTCCTCGTCCTCGTCCTCCTCATCCTCGTCACCATCAGACTTGGCATTCTCCTCCCCGCCTCCCATCATCATCATCATCATCATCATCATCATCATCATCATCATCATCATCATCATCATCATCAGCATCATCAGCATCATCAGCATCATCACCATCATCATCATCATCATCAACATCAACATCATCATCATCAACATCAGCATCATCAGCATCATCGTCAGCATCATCAGCATCAGCATCATCATCATCGGCATCTTCATCATCATCAGCATCATCATCATCGTCATCTTCATCGTCATCATCACCATCATCAGCATCATCATCAGCATCAACATCATCATCAACATCAGCATCATCATCGGCATATTTATCGTCTTACCATCATCAGCATCATCACCATCATCAGCATCATCACCATCATCAGCATCATCAGCATCATCATCAGCAGCATTAGCCTCACCAGCATCATCGCACTCCTCATTCTTACCCTCATCCTCATCCTCATCGCCACCATCATCATCATCATCATCATCATCATCACCACGTCTCCTCTTCCTCCTCCTCCTCGCCCCCTCCTTCTCCTCCTCGTCCTCCTCCTCATCCCTTCCCCTCCGTTCCACCGTGCGACTCATCCTGTTCCTCTTGTCAGTATTTTCATTGTCCTCCTTCTCATCCTCGTCATCATCATCATCATCATCATCATCATCATCATCATCATCATCACCAAGATCATCAGCATCATCAGCACCATTCACGCCATCGTTACCATCATAATCAATAGCATCATCATTATCATCATCGTGGTCGTCGTCGTGGTCAGCATCATAATCATCATCAACATCAGCGGATCAGCATCCCCTGTCTCATAGTAATCATCATCAACATCATGATCATCACCTTCGTCGTCGTCATCATCCTCATCCTCATCATCGCCATCATCACCATCATCAGAATCACCATAGTCATCATCATCATCATCATCATCATCATCATCATCATCATCGTCATCATCACCCTACTTTCCATGATTTCCACTACAGATCATCAACATCATCATCATCATCATCACCATCATCATCATCATCATCATCATCATCATCATAACCACCATCATCATCATCGGTACCATCAATATCGGCATCGGCATCGCCCGTATCATCCTTAGCATTCCGAATACCATCGGCACCAGCACAATCGTCAGCATCATCATTAGCATCATCACCATCATCATTATTTTCATCGTCATCATTATTCTCCTCATCGTCATCACCAATATCGCCATCATCGTCGTAATCGCCATCGGCATCGTCATCACCATGACCACCATGATATGCACCACCATCGTCTTCGTCTTTTCATCATCGTCATCATGATCATCAACATCATCATGATCATCATCATCAGCATCATCATGATGATCATCATCATCATCCTCATCACCACCCTCCTCATCCTCACCCTCATCATCAGCAGCAGCAGCAGCAGCAGCGACATCAACATTACCATCATGATCCTTATCGCCATCGTCATCGACAGTGACATCATCACCGTTATCGTCATAGTCGTAGTCAGGATCACCCTAACCCTCACAATCATCCCCCTACCCCTGCCCCTGTCCCTCCTCCTCCGCCTACCCCTCCTCCCCCGAACTCGAGGGGAAGAGGGAAGGGCGACGCGAGAAACCCGACCCCCGCCGATTCGGCCGCCCGAAGAGCCGGTGTACTCCAGGGGGTAAGCCCGCGTCTCGTCCTCGACCTCACACTCGTCACGGGGAGGGCCCAAGCTCGTCGGCGTCGAGGGGCGGCTCGGCTCGTCTGGCTCCTGCACGGCGTCGGCGGGCGGGATGATGCGGGGGCCGCGGGGCTCCTCGAGGGGGCGGCGGGGAAACCGCTCTCGGGCGACGTCGACCGACCACCTGCCCCGATCCTGGCCAGGCCCATGGCGGGCCCGGCCAGGCACGGTGCAGGTGTACAGTCCCAGATTTTGTTGGGCCTGCGGCCGCTTGACTCAAGCAGCGTTCGAGCGACGGAGGGGCGCCGCTTCCGAGGCGAATTGAGGCACTAAAACAAGCGCGGCGGGAGGCGAAGGGGGCGCGGAGGGAGGGGAGGCCGCGCACAGAACATGCCATCCTTGTGCGAGAGTGCCGGAGGCGTGCACAACGAAGTGGAAGCCCTTGGAAGACTGGAATGCGAAGGCTGGGAACCGTGGATCACGGCGCGGCTGAGAAGGACAACCAGGGGTACCAAGGCCAGTATACAGAACCAGGGTATACAGTCCCAGACGTGCGATGTCCCATGTTTGAGAGAACGCGCCCGTGGTACACTCCCAAAGGAGGGGGGGAAGTCCCCCCTTAGCTACCCCCTCCCTTGGAACACCCTTGCTGGAAGCCCCCCCCTCCGTTTTTCCCGCCCCTCGAAAGTTCCCCCCCTCCTTTCGTGCTCAGGAAGCTGCCCCCCCGCCCTCTTTCCAAAGGGGGGGGGCGGCTTAGCTACCCCCCTCCCCCTCTTTCCAAAGGGAGGGGGGCTTAGCTACCCCACCCGTTTGAACCTCTCCTGCCGGAAACTCCCCTCCCCACCCCTCCCCTCCTCGTTGGCGAAAGGGGGGGGGGGGGGCATCCCCCTCTCCCCCCCCTCTGGCTAAAGGAAGGAGCGCCGAAAATCAAAGAACGCTGAAAACCAACCGAGCGCCGAAAACCAAACGGCCACCGAATATCGAAAGGGTGCGAAAACCAGATGCGCGCCGAAAACCAAAGGGACGCCGAAAACCAGGGGGGCGCCGAAAACCAAAGGAGCACCGAAAACCAAGGGAGCGCAGAAAACCAAAAGGGCATCGAAAACCAAAAGGTCGCCGACAACCAGAAGGGAGCCGAAAACTACAGGGGCGCCGAAAACCAAAGATGCGCCGAAAACCAAAAAGAGCACCGAAAACCAGAGCAGCGCGGAAAACCACAAGGGCGCCGAAAACCGAAGAGTGCCGAAACCCAAAAGGGCGCCGAAAACTGAAGGGTCGCCGAACTTGAAAAGGACGCCAACAACCCAAGGGGTGCCGAAAACCAAAGCGGCACCGAAAACCACAAGGTCGCCGACAACCAGAAGGTCGCCAAACACCCAAATAACATCGAAATCCAAAACGGTATCGAAAACCAAAGGGGCGCCGAAAACCAAAAGGGCACCGAAAACCAAAAGGGAGCCGAAAACCAAATGAGCGCCGAAAACCAACGAAGTGCCGAAAACCACAAGAGCGCCGAAAACCAATGGAGCGCCAAAAACCGAAAGGGCACCGAAAACCAAAAGGGCACCGAAGACCAAAGAAACGCCGAAAACCAAAAGGGCGAAGAAAACCAAAGGGGCGCCGATAACCAAGGAGGCGCAAAAAACCGAAAGAGGACGAACACTAAAAAGGGCGCCGAACACAAAAAAAAGCGCGAACACAAAACAAGCATGCGCCGGAAACGCAAGGGCGCCAAAGACAAAAAGGGTGCCAAAAATCAAGGGGACGCCGAAAACCAAGATGGCGCCGACAACCAAGAGGGCGCCGAACAACCACTGGGCGCTGAAAACCAAAAGGAGCGCCGAAAACCAAAGGGGCGCCGAAAACCAACGAAGCGTCGAAAACCAAAAGGGCGCCGAAAAACCAAAGGGGCGCCGGTAACCAAAAGAGCGCCGAAACCGAAAGGTGCGCCGAAAACAACAGAAGCTCCGAAAACGGACTGGGCGCCGAAAACAAAAAGGGCGCCGAAAACAAAAGGGGCGCCGAAAACCAACGGGGCGCCCAAACCAAAGAGGCACCGAAAACCAAAGGGGCGCCGACAACCAAAAGTGAGCCAAAAACCAAAAGGGCGCCGAGAAACCGACAGGAACGCCGAAAACTAAAAGGGCGTCGAAAACCAAAGGGCGCCAAAAACTAGAGGAGCGCCGAAAGCCGAAAGGCACCGAAAATGTAAGGGGCGCCGAAAACCAAAGAGCGCCGACAACAAAAAAAAACGCCGGAAAACTAAAAGGGCGCCAACAACCAACAGGGCGCCGGAAGCCAAGAGAGCGCCGAACACCAAAAGGGCGCCGGAACCCATCACGGCGCCGAAAACCAACGATGCGCGAAAAAACAAAGGGTGCGCAGAAAACCAAAAAGGGCGCCGAAAATGAAAGAAGCGCCGAAAACCACAGGAACGCCGAAAACCAAAGGAGCGCCGAAAACCAAACGGGCGCCGAAAACCAACGGAACGCCAAAGGCCAAAGGGTCGCCGAAAACCAAAAAGGCGCCGAAAACCAAAGAGACCCAGGAAACTACAAATATGCCGAAAACCAACGGGGCGCCGAAATTCAAAGAAGAAAAATAGTTTCGAAGCCCGCCCTTCAGCCAGGGCCCTCCAGCTGGAAAAGCCAACAAAAGGAGGGGAAAAAGGGTTGTTTCGGAAATCTCCCCAACCGCGTTTGGAAAAAGGAACCCGGGCTTACCCCGGCCCCCGAAAAAGAGGGAGGGCGGGGGTAACTTCCAAGCCCCCCCCCTTAGCCAGGGACCCCCAGCTACAAAATCCAAACGACAAGGGGGGGACAGCTTCGGGAGCCCCCACCCCCAGAGAAACAGGAGCCCAGGCTGACCTTGGGCTCCGGAAAAGAAGGGGGGGTAACTTGGAAGGGACCCCCCCCCGTTAGCTAGGAACCCCCTCGCTCCGAAATGCCCACAGCAGGAAGGGAGGAGGGGGGGTAGCTTCGGACCCCCCGCCTTTTCCAAGAGGGTGGTGGGGTAGCTTAAAGCTGAAAAATGTGCCACGAGCGCGTTTTGTCATGTGTTTTTTCGTGACCGGTTCCCCAAAAGTCCGTACCTTTTGCCCACACGGATATCAAAGGCTCCGACAACAAAAATGAGCGTGGTAGCCGCCCACACATGCTCGCGCGCAAATTGTTTGGCCGCGTTCACCTTCTGGGAACACTCGCCGGCCCGCAGGACCGCCAAGAAACGAGTCGGGATGAAAAACGGCCCCCCTGGGGGATGGGCTGGGACGAAGGGGCCCCGCACAAAAAAAACAAAATCTGGACACATCGCACGTATGAGCGGAAGCCCCGACCCGTTCGCCAAGGCCGGTTTCTCGCCCCGGGCCGTTTTTTTGACGGTCCCAGGGCCCTGCGAAGGCCCCCCGGAGGCCGAAGGCTGCAAAGAGTCTGCCGTCGTGATTGTTGTTCGCGACGCGGGCATGTCTGGGCAGTGGCGCCCTCCGAAGGAAAGCGCTGCTCCTGCCCTGTCGCCGCGCAACGGTGCCCCCGCGCTATCCGCGCTATCCGCGCTGCCCCTGCGCTTCTGGGCGGGCAAGACAAACAGGCAGAGGTAGCGGGGGAAGCGACGGTCGGTGGGCCAGTCGACACACCGGCGGCGAACAGGGAGGAGGAGTAGGAGGAGGAGGAGGAGGAGGAGGAGGAGGAGGAGGAGGAGGAAAAGGAGGAGGAAGAAGGAGAAGCAGGAGGAGGAGGAGGAGGAGGAGGAGGAGGATGAGGAAGAGGAGGAGGAGCAGGAGGCGGACGAGGAGGAGGCGGAGGAGGAGGACGATGAGGAGCGAGCGTCCCATGGCGAGCGTTCGCTCCGCGCCTGTTACCGCCGCGCCGAGCCACTCAGGCTCGCGTTGAAGAGGATGGGGCGGTTGTCGGCGACGAGGGGGTGATGGAAGTTGTTCAGGTCAGCCTTTGAGAGGCCCGAGGGGGCGGTGGATGCCCGACTGGAAGACGTCGGGGAAGGCCCATGGTTGAGGTCCGCAATTGTGCCCCAAGATCCGCCAGCTCCAAGTGGAGCGAGTCGGTTTCACCAACGTCGAGCAAGAAAGGGTCAGCGCCAGACCGGTCAAGCGCGAGGACGCCGTCGAAGTTCATCTTCACCCAGTGGGCGAACTCTCGCTGCTCAGGAGAAAGGGCTTGACGATCCAAACCAGCAAAGGCGCGGGCGAGCGATTCGACGTAGAGAATGCTCGTCGGCTTAGCAGGATGCCTGTCCGCACTGTGAAGGCCAGGGGGGGGGGGTCAGCGAGACATTTGTCCTCGCCATGCACAAGCGCATGTAAGGGGGGCAGAGGTGCGCCAGCAGCTCGGCCAAGTGCTTCGACGTCGCACAGAGGCGCCGCCAGCGACGCAGGCGGGGCAGGTGGATGAGGATCTCCAGGTAGACGGCCCGCGCCAGCACAGTAACCCGTAACAAATGGAAGCACCGAGTCAGGAGGGCCAGGTTGCACAGGGAGAGCGACCAGTGGAAACGGCGGAGGAACGCGCCGACCACATGCAAGGGCAGGCCTGCATCCCACGAACGGCGCGGAAGAAGCAACAAACGAGGCGGAGGAGGCCTCAGGTTGCTCGCCACGCATCGCGTCGCACGCGCAGGCGCGTTGCCGATGGCGGTTCGTGGGCCCCACATGCACAGTGTAAGCGCCCAGGTCGCGGTCGGCGATGCCGTTCGCGGGCGGCGCGAGGCCGCGGTCAGCGTCCGTCGGGCAAGAGCCAGTGAGCGCGCCCGCCAAAGAGGAAAAGTCGCAGGTGACATCGATGGGGTCGTTCGCAGCTTCTTCGACAGTAGCCAGCTCCAGAAAGAACGGGTCGGCCCCGTCGGCGGCGCCTTGACGGGGGCCCGCAACAGACGGGCCCTGCACGAATACACAGTCGGTGCCCATATGATCCCGCGAGCGATCTCACGTTGCTCAGGAGATAGTGGCTGACAGTCCAACTGGGCAAAGACACGCGAACGCAACTCACCGCCTGGGATAGGCATCGGCCCCGCAGGGGGCGGACCCGCATCGGGAAGGCCTGGGGGGCGAGCGGTGGGATCCGCAGGCGCCCCATGCGCGCGGTGAGAAAGACGAAGTGGATAAACGCCAGCAGCCCGCGAAGAGGCGTCGATCGCACCCCGCG